ATCAAGCAGTAAACAATACCATAATCAAGGAACTCCCAGAGGAGCAAAACAAAACTCCCATCCCCACCAGCACTGGCAAGGCAGGGCACAGCATATAAACAGAGAGCAAACCCCATCCCATTCCAGCACTGAAGATGCTACCTAGCCAGGTAACAAAACGTTTGCAAGAAAAGAACCAAGCTCAGAGGACCCCAAGGACTCCACAGTTCAACCCTGAGCTACACATATTTGCCTCTATTGATATCAACCCATTTACAAGATTCACTACGGGTAGTCCTCAACTTACAACAATTCGTTTAGCGACCGTTCGAAGTTAAGATGGCACTGGAAAAAGTGATTTATGACTGGTCTTCGCACTTACAACCATCACAGCATCCCCACGATCATGTGATCATGATTTGGGCACTTGGCAACCGTCACACATTTACAATGGTTACAGTGTCCTGCGGTCACACGATTGCCAGTTGTGACTTTCCCAGCCAGCTTCCAACAAGCAACGTCAATGGGGAAGCGAGCAGGGAACGCTGCGCTTTTCATTGGCCGATTCGCACAGATGCTGGCAGAAGTCAAGGGGAAGCTATGTGGAGGTGGAGCAGAGGAGTTTCAAAAGCGGTCAAGTTTTAGACCGTTTCAAGAAGGATGGAGAGAGAGCAGAGAGCCTGCTGGAGTTGGCTTCCTGCTGCAGACTGGAGACGGATCCCAGACAGCTTTGGGTTGCCACAGGCCACTGGCTCCGTGCCATTAACATCATTTGTTCAGGACTCTTTCCCAATCTGGTGATGAAACCGGTTTACCACAGAACTCTGAGAGTTGCTATTCCAATGTAATTGGGTAACTCCTCTTTGGGGGAAGCTACCTTAGATGAGAGAGAGGGCATGCCCCCCTTTTTGGGCCCTGGATTTTCCTCCGATAATGCTAATAGATGAGAAAATGGCAAGGTGATTAGAAGGAGCAATAGCAAGGCAAAGAGGCGAGTGGAGCCTCTCACAGGAGAAACACGCCAATGTGGAGGGTCAACGTCCTTTCCCCCGTGCAAAGCCAGGTAACCAAAAGGTGCTTCGTCCTTGTGGTAAAGAGCAGCAACAGTAGAGCATCATATATATTTAGAAGGTTTTATACTCACCTTTAGGCCAGGTGATGTCCCAGCTGATAGCTTAGTTTCTGACCATTATAACTATGCCCAGCTTCTTAGTAGTTTTGGATAGGGGACGTTCCTGTCACTTCTACCGTACGACATTTTTAGAGGGCGCCCTCTGAATTGGTGGCACAAATTGCCTTGAATTGTTTGACTGCCTCTGTGGTGAAGGTTATGCTCATGGGCCTCTAGCTCACGGTAACCTCACATTATATATATATGTATCATCCCGCTGCTGCGATCTATTCACAGCACCAAATCTTGTAATGCCCCTATATTCTTGTCAGACTTTGGGAAGAAATATGAATCCTCATAAGATGTGGGGCAAGTGTGTCAACGTCTCTTTGGATTTTGAGTGAGAACTTTGAAGTCTCGTAAGATTTTGGAGGTGATATTCCTGAAATCTCATGTGTGTTTTTTTTTAAATTATGTACCCATTTCAGTAATGGCACCTGAAAAAACTATCAACCCCTGCTCTGTGGAAGGACTGATGAATAAGAAACCCTGTCTAGAAAACTATCAAGAAACCCTTGATAGATGGAGGCTAACATGAGATGTGTGACTCTCTTGGTGGCAGGCCAGGCCAGGCTACCCAACTAGATCACTTTTTAGCAAGCAATGATAAAAATATATATGCAGGCCTCTGTTTCATCACAAGACTTCCACTAATGCAGTGTTCTTCACCTGGTTCTTTAGATCTTTTCCCCTAGATTGACCAGCAAAAGCAAGTTATTGATGCAATGGCAGAAAAGGTGAAGGGCAACAAAATTACTCTAACTGAAAAACAAATCAATGAGCTCAAGACTGCCTTTGAGACAGGGAATTTTGCTCATCTGGCCAACCGCCTCCAAGAAGCTTTTTCCTCATTGGAGAACATCAACTTAAATGTGGCAGTTATTGGAGAATCTGGAGTAGACAGAGCAACCTTCATCAACACCTTTCGGGACCTCTATGAGGATGATGAGGGGGCAGCTCCTACTGGAAAGGTGGATGCCAGTAAAACTCCTGTGGCTTATCCACACCCCAAGTATCCCAACGTGATCCTGTGGGATCTGCTCAATCTTGGGAACCCAGATTTCCATGCCAAAAATTACACAGAGTGGTTGAATGTTGCCTACTATGACTTCTTTTTAATTATTGCCTCTCAGCACTTCAGCTCCTTCCACGCTAAGCTGGCTCATTACATCAAGAACGCAGGTAAAGACTACTATTTTGTCCGCACTAAAGTGGATGCAGATCTGGAATCAGCCCGTCAGAGCAACCCATCTAGCTTTGATGAGATTGTCACACTGCAGAAGATCCGAGAAGATTGTATGCAAGATCTTCAAGCTGAGAAAGTGAAGTCTCCCGAGATCTTCCTTATTTCCAACATTTTACTCAGCAAGTATGACTTCTACCTCCTGGGAGAAACGCTTGGGAAGAACTTGGATCTGCAAAAGAGCCATTCTTTCCTCCTTGCCACCCCTAACATCTCCCATCGCATCTTGGAAAAGAAGAAGAATGTGATGATTGAACATTTGTGGTTGGTTGCTGTGGTAGCCTGTGGGATCCAGACTGAAGCTATCCCAAATATTTCAGTGGTATGTGATGTGGACCTACTAGTCAGAACCATGCAAGGTTACTGCATCAGCTTTGGCCTGGAAGAGGACTCCTTAAGGAGGACTGCCGAACATGTAGAGCAGCCCTTTGAACAGTTGAAAGCCCTCATTAGGTCCCCACTGGCTCCTGCAATCACCAAAGCACAAGTGGTGGAGTTGCTCATCCAAGCAGCCAGCAAAGCACCCAAACTGCCAAAGCAGCTTGTCCCCATGGCCACGGTAGGGTTGTCGTTCGCTGTAGTGTACAGCATGCTGAAAACATTTGTGGAAGATGTGGCAGCTGATGCCCACAGGGTGCTGGTCAAAGTGTTTATGAGCCATAAGGGCACAAGTGAGTCTGAGGCAACCATATCAAAAGCCCTGGAGAACCAGGGCCTTTCTTAAAGAGGGTCCGAGAGACTTCACTTCCAAGGTGGAGACCATGAAGTTCTAGAAAAAAAATTCTACACATTTGTCTTCTCCAATGTTGTCTAAAACCACGGCTGCTGCTTAAGAGAGTAAACTAAGAGTAACCCCCTCATAATCTAACTCATTCCTCCCAAATGAAGTAGTTCCCAGAGGTGCCTTATTCTAGTTGGATTCGTGCTGTCGTGGGCCTACACACATACAACTACAAAACTGTAGAATGAATGAGTCAGAAAGAACTTCTAGGAAATCTAGTCCAACCTCCGGTTTATTGCAAGGATCCACCAAATCGTTCCTTACAACAGCCATTCTCCAGCAAGCAAGGATGGGACCCACTCCTGTTCTGGGAAGAGGGTTCTACGATTTAACCATTTTTACCACCAGGAAATTCTTCCCCATATTCAACCTGAATTTTCTTTCATTTCCTTTCAATCTGTTGATCATTGTCAACTCCCCTTTTGCTAGCTAAGCGTGCCCAACTCCCTTTGGTGCAGTTGTTCAACCAAGTGCAAATCCATTGCACCGCAGTACTGCCCAGCTCACATTTATCCATTCTGGCCATGAGGACACCCTGAGCGACCTTCTGAAACGTGTGGCTGAGAACCAGGAGCACTGTATCCACCATGGTCTACGAAACGAGTCACTCTGTCAGAAGAAGAGAACTCAGTCCAAGTTGGCTTGTTCCTGACAAAGATTTGCTGGCTCCCAGGATGGTAGCCTTGTTTCCCAAGCACTTACAGATATGCTCCTTGACAATCTGTCCCTTGCCCACTACAGGCATGACACTAACCAATCTGTGGTTTCCTAGATGCTCTTGCTTCCCCTTTTTGAACACTGGGGCAATACCGATTGCTTTCCTCCAACCTTCTGTTTCAAAGAGGACAGTTCAGAGCTGACCTCTGCCATTCTACTCTCAACCATGACTAATTAGGCCAACAGATTTGCCGTCATTTAAGGAAGCAAGGTGGGTTTCCACTATTCTTCCTGAGGTTCACTTCTCCTCGTTTCCTGAATCCAAACGTTGGAAGGGATCTCTTCTTCTGAGATGCAAAGAAGGTGGGAAGCAATTCCAGCCCCTCCTTTCCACCCAGCGCCTCGTAGACTTTTATGTTGGAGATAACCCCTCCCCAAATCCCCTCTATTATATTGTCTTGCCATCTCATTCTTGGAATGTCTTGAACTGGGCAGGATCTTCTTTTGCAGCACAAAGCACTCTGAACTCTCTCCTCTTGCTAAACGTGCAACAGACACTCCACTTAGGGCACGTTCTATCTAATTAACACCTTTTACCCATAGAATACGAGGCTGTCTAGGGCAGAGTTTCTCAACCTTGTGACTTGAAGAGGTGTGGACTTCAATTCCCAGAAGTTCCCACCCAGCATGCTTATGAGATAATGTCTCGGTGTGATAGGTGACATACCCATTTCTGTTTGCAAATTTCCCTAAGACACCTAAATTTTGCAAATAATTTAACAGGGTACATTTGGTTAATCATTTCACAAACATATCCAATTTAAACTGACCTCCACAATATAGATTTTTAAATTGGTGCATTGAAGCATTCAGAGAACAGTGATGTTTATTGTTAATCATCATCAGTTTGCATATGGCTTTGGGACAGTGTTTCTCAACCTTGGCCATTTGAAGATGGGTGGACTTGAACTCCCAAAATTCCCTGGGAGTTCAAGTCCACCCATCTTCAAGTGGCCAAGGTTGAGAAACATGGCTTTGGGAGAATGCAAAATTAGACAGGTTTGCACTCAGAGGTAAGCTAAATTAATTTCTTTCCCCTCCCTATTCCTTCTTCCCCCAACCATGTCACCATAATACGCCATTCAGAATCAACGTCTGGATGAGCAACTGATGTTAAAAAGCAGAATCTCTAGACTGCAAAGGTCACCTTGGCCAACATGATGGTTTCATCCCTTAGATGCCCCTTGTACGAAAGAAAGAACAACCAGTCACGCCTCCCTTTTTCTGGCGGGACCAAGCTGGCACCTCTCCCACCATCAGTGACGGGGGCAATAACAGGCTGAGTAGGAACACGCAAACGATGCCAAGGCATGGCAAAGAGAAAATGCCCTGAGTCACTTTTTGTGAGAAGGGCGGTATCTAAACTTGAAATATAAACTAATTAATTAATTGATTGATTGATTTTTAAAAAAATTAAACCACCATGCTTTGCCAATTGATTCCTGTATTGGCCAAACCTTTTCACGGAAACTCCTTCACCTTGTGTGTGCAAACAACTCCTATTTGTTGCAGCCCGTCTTGCTTTGCACTTCCTTATTCGGGTGGGGAGGTGAGTTTTGTAATCAAGCTGCTTAATAAAGGTAGAGCAAGAAGACCAGCCTGGTTAGAGCTTCCACGTCTCCCCAGGGAAAGTGGACCTCTTGATCCAGGTAAGAGAAGCTTGTGCTCAGTGCATTATCTGACGGGACCCATTGAAGAAAAGCTTGAGATCAGTCAGTGTAAGTCAGAAGATTGCAACCGGAATCCAATGTTTGTGTGCACATGGAAAACCCAGGACCGAGCATGGATTTCTTAGAGTTTATTTGAAGGGGCAGAAATGGGAGCTCTGAGGTGACTGTGGGGTTCTGCAACACAAAATACCTGAGAGAAGCGTGTGCCCCCTTTTTTTAGCAGAAAAATAGAGAAATTTGCTGGGGTCATCTAGATGGGGATTGTAAGCTGTGTCTACACAGCACGCTTAACCAGACGCCTAAAGGCCAGTTAAAGACCAGCATTCATACGTTTAACCTTTGTTAGGTTAGGGATTTTTTCTGACTTCACATACAATGTGACCCCCCCCCACACTGCTTTTGTTAGTTATTCCTCATTGTACTGTACAATTCCAGAAATGAGTTGATTCAGCCACCAGATTAAGCAAGTGGCGAGAAGGCAGCTGCAGAAATCCTCCACTGTTGCTTCTTTCTGTAGCAACGTTTCATTTAGTCTCCATCTAAAAGAATTCGATTTCCTTTTATAAGCCAAACTCACAGGATATGATCTGAAAAAATATCTAAAGTAGCCAAGTTCTTTGAGGTCCAAATCATGTTTATTCTTGAAGAGGATCTGTGTCTTTCAGAAAAGTAGGTATACTCTCTTGAAATGGCCATTTTTCTGCCTCCGTATATCAACCAGCCCCCAACTGTCCATCAAATCAAAGAAAACTTTTGCTAATTTGCTTTGAGCAATTTTTCTCACAAGTTCTGCCCAGTTGTGGGGAGATCACTCCATTCCAATCCCCCATCAAACACCAGTTTTCATGAGAGAAACCTATTAATCTCTCTATCAATCATTTATAAAACAATACTTTGTCCTCATTTGGAGCAAAAATTCTCCAATAAATTGAGAATATGGAATAGATGCAAACCCAGGTTGAGCCCAAAAATACCTTTGTGGATCTCAGCACAAGAAGCATTTTATAGATGAGAAATAATAGGCAGATACAAATGGTTAACTTATCGAGAGAGAGTAGAATTTTGTCAAGGGGAAAATCAAGAGAAGAACTGGTGGCAGCGGGACATAGCTGTCCATGGTTCAAATTATTAGAAAGATTTAAAGTAGACAAAAGAATTTATGGTTTTGAAGATTGTAAGGCTGAGTTTGAAACAGAATTGTGTACAAGTGATGAACATGTAATTGCTAAAATGTAGAAACTTTTATTGAAATTTGAAACCGAAGAAGAACAAGTGAAAGAATGTCAGATAAAGTATATATATATATTCTTACTCATGTTCAAGTGGAGTTGGCAGATCCTGAAGTTACTTTCTGATAGCAGAAAAACTTAGTATCCATTGACTGACCCTCTCTGGTGGGACCATTGCACAGCTACAGTTGCTCAGATTGTCCCATCGCTTGGCCAGTGTTGTGGAGGACATATCTGGGGGAAGGCTACCCTAATAGTTGAAGCAGATGAACTGGGATCAATAAAATAATACCTTGTATGGATTTATACTGCAGATGGTTTTCTTTTTCATGTTGAGTAATGATGATCTCTCTTGTTGTTGTTTCTAAAAGTCTGGGTGTTGGTCCCTGGGCAGAATTTGGAAACAACTGAGCTCTGTTCATGGAAGGTGGCAGGAAGGTGGATTAGGCTGGAGACACAACATTTGGCTGAACAACATCAATAAAACAGTAACAATAGCATACTCTTGTGTGGTCTGAAACCAACAAATCTCACGTTTAGTTATTCACAGATTCTTAAAGGGCCCCATCTCTGCTATTAATCCGCGGACAATCTTGCTTCCCTCTAGAGGCAGATCCACAATGAAGCCACTGGCTCTTCTGTTGCTGCTCTGGGCTGTCTCCTCAAAAGGACAACCTTCGTGTGAGTGAACGACGGGTGGTCTTGCTGGACAGAGGGCTGTGGAAGAGGATGGACGCTCTTTCATCAATATTCAGCGCTGGGTTACATCCCAGGGCAAATTCCACAAGGGAAACCCCCATTCTGTGTTGGCCAGGCTGAGGGCTGCTGCCAGAGATGAGGAGAAAATTGGTCGGAGCGTTATCTTGACACGCAAAATACGTAATTTTGAATTAATGCACAAACCGGTCTCCTAATTCGGAGTAAAGATGTTTTGTGGAGTCCTTGGTGCTCCCTGAGTCTGGTTGTTTGCCGGTGTTGGTTGAAGGGCTGGTTTTTTCCTTGGCACTTCCTTGAATAGGGTATTGTTTTCTGCTTACAGTCTTCCTTTGCATTTATCTTGTATGTACAGTATGTAAAAACTTTCAGTAAAAGTTATTTTTGAAAAAGAAGAGCGAAACCACCACCTTAACAGTGGAATAACCAAATATGAGAAGATATCCCTGAAAAACGATTCGTGAGGCCTCTTCGTGTGGTGGTTAGAGGGATGGGAGAATAAGGAGAAGATGTGTCCTGGCCTTTTTGTTTCCTTCTTAGCTTCTTTATTGTCTCTCTTGAATGTATCCCCTCTTTTTATTGTCTTTCTATTGTCTCCATTCAAAAGAGGCAATAGTGGCGCAGGAGCTTCCCTCTCCCTTGGTTGTTGACTTCCCTACCCTGAATTACTCTTGTATCAATAGGCAGCAACAACTGCGTCAACACGGCCAAAGAAGATGTCCTCAAGTTGCTGCAGAAATGGGAATCAGCTTCCTCCTGCGTTCCCAACCAGCCAGGCCAGCCCCTGAAGCTCTTCCGGAGTTGCCAAGAGATCAGGGACTCGGTTCAAAAGGCTACTGGTGAGCAAAAGTGCAGCTTAACTCAGAAGAGCTTCTCCGTCCCATCAGATCTTCTGCTTCTTCATACTCCTGTTCATACTAATATTAATAATAAACCCTGTACAATAAGTTGCTCTTCACCTCAGATTTCCTCCTCCGTGCACTATTGTCCAGGGGTGTCCATAGTATCAAGATGGTGGCCACAAATATGTGATTGAAGACCAGCCCTTCTTTATTGCATTGTGTTGCACGTTGAAAAGGGAGGGGCTTCCATTGCACGGTTGTGGCCACCATCTTGACTTTACGACCCCCCTCCCTGTGGACATCCCTGCTACTCTCAAGCTGGTGCTTTATTAAGACAAAGTCCTGCTGAATTCCACGGGACTCTTTTCTACACACTGAATGCAGGATAAGACTGCCATGTCAGCTTTCTTTCAGCCCCATTTGTCATGCCAACCACAAAAGTCTGCATCAGGGTTTCTCAGTCTTGGCCACTTTATGATGGGTGGACTCAGGATTCTGGGGGTTGAAGTCCACTCATGCTGGCTAGGGAATTCTGGGAGTTGAAGTCCACCTGTCTTAAAGCCGCCATGGTTGACAAGCCCTGGTCCACATCATTCATTTTTTTAAAACTTCTTATTTCTTTATTCTCTGTTCCAATCTACTTTGTTAATTTAAGGCACTGAATTAAAAGTCAGTATTGAACATCCAAATGAGTCATCTTTGTATTTCTTCTTCTGCCCTTTTTGGACTATTCACCTAACAGCACTTTCACCGCTCTTAAGTTTGCAACTACGTAACTTCAGAAATGGATCTAAACTACAGAACAGTAATTCATTCCGAAGAAAATTATTATAGGATCCAGTGGAATTTTCACCATTATTTGTAATCAACTCTTTTACAGGATTTATTTAAACTTCCACAGAGATGCACACCCTCTGGTTACAGTCTTGAAATACTGATTTCTATTAACTTAATATATGCATAGCCTATATAGGTCTTGACTATATATGATTATCTATCTTGGAATCATTATCCCTCTTGTTACCACTGCAGTTAAAAATTGGCATTATCTTCTATCATTTATGTAAACGGGTTATTCTGAAATGTCAATCACTTAAAATAAATAAGTACACCTGGGTTTTGGCAGATGGACTGTATTTCCTGATCACTGAAGATGGCGAGATCTACCAGACCTTCTGTGACATGTCCACCAATGGAGGAGGCTGGACCTTGGTGGCCAGTGTACATGAAAACAACATCTTTGGGAAATGCACCGTTGGGGACCGCTGGTCCAGCCAGCAAGGCAGCAGCGCCAACTACCCCAAAGGAGATGGAAACTGGTCCAACAACTCCACCTTTGGGTCAGCCATAGCAGCAACCAGCGACGACTACAAGGTGAGAAATACTAGTCTGAGACAAAGGAAACCAATTTTTTTTTTTTTTTTAATTGGGCCATTTGCTTCAGCCACAGGTCAACGTCAGTCTAAAAACAGAGTTTGTAGTAATAGGCATTGCTGGATTATGTTTAATATTTGGTATCAAATAAAATAGTGGTTATACCTCCCACAAAGCCCATCTGTTCCCATCTGTCCCCTGCCATGGGTAACGTACACAGATTCTCCAGACTCTTTTCAGGCAGGGTTCAGACCTGGACAGGGGACTGAGGTGGCCCTGGTTGCTCCAGTGGACTGCCTGGTGGAGCACACCCTTCCTGGTCCTCTTAGACACTTGGCAGCCTTCAGTCCTATCAATGGAGGCCTGCAGGGGTTGGGGACTGGAAGCACAGAACTACAGTAGTTCTGCTCCTCCTTCAAGGGGCGCTTCCAGTCAGTGGGGGAAGAGGAGAAGTCACAGCTGTGGCCACTCACTTGTGGAGTGCTGCAAGGGTCAATCCTCTCACCCGTGCCTTTATGTCCATGAAGAGTACAGAGAGCTGCTGAGAGGACATATAATGGTTCAGCTCCAGGTGGACCAGAGATGCTGTGTAGGTGGTTTGTCAATGTCTGGAAGCCATGTGGGCCTGGATGGGGCAGAACATGTTGAAGGTAGCCCTAGGAAGATGGAGTTACTGTTGATACATCAAGGTTCTCCTAAACTTTGTTGTCTCTTGATGGAGAAGCAGTACCTTTGAAGGTCCATGATTTGGGAGGCCGCCTTGTCTGACAGCTCCAATGGAATCAGCAGCTGGAGGCTGTGGCCAGGAGGCCTTGTCTGGCTTACGTGGGGCTCAAGGGCCTGGCTTCATGAGTCGTGCCTTTGTCACATAAGACTGGATTACTACAAAGTGCTCTACACAGGACTCCCTTTAAAGACGACCCGGAAACCACAAACACAGCAGCCCAGGTTCTAGCTGGCCCTTGTTGTCAAGACCTGAACTTCAGGCCCTACCTTGGCTCCCAGTGGGCTTCCAGGTACAAGTAAATCCGCTGGCTTTAACCTACAGAGGCCTTCATGGCTTGGCACCTCGTCATTTCAGACCACATCCTCCAGCCAGAATTGTCTCAGCCAACAAGGTCACCTCGAGAGAAACCCATGCTGATACCTCTCTTCCAAGGATGGTGGTTGCAAGGTCATGCTGCTTTTTTTCCCATCCCAGAGTCCTCTCAAAAAGTGCAAACAGACTAATCAAATGTTTTCAAGACTTTCCCCAGTAACTTTCCAGTTAATTGTTATAAGCTGCCCAAGGTAATTGTATTTGAGGTGGGCGGCTACATAAACCAAATAAATGAGTAATTTTTTTAAAGCATAGATTTTGTAAGGCATGGAAACCATGACTGATGTTCCCCACTGCAGGTGGACTTGGCCAGCTTTCTGTCAGTTCCACCAATGCGACGCTTTCCCAGGCAAAGAGTTAGCCTCTTGTCTAGAGGAATCTGGATATCATTCTGCAGAATCTGATGCTGAGAGTGTCTCTTAGGAAAAGGACCCTTAAAATGCCTTCCACTGTTGTCAACGACGTTTCTTTTTTTCCAGAATCCAGGCTACTATGCTCTTGCCGCACGGGATCTCTCCATATGGCACGTCCCCAACAACAGCCCCATGAAGAAATGGCGGGAGGCTTCCATCTTGAGATACCACACGGAGTCAGGCTTCTTGGCTGAGGAAGGGGGCAACCTTCTCTGGCTCTATCAGGTGAGGCCAGCTGACTTGGCCTTCTGCCTGCTGACTCACCAGATACGGGATGGGTTGGGAGCATTATGATCGCTTGCATCTCATTGGGCTGATCTTAAAAGGCTAAACACCTAATTAGTGCTTGGTTGAGAGACCTCCAGGAATCCCAGAACTGTGTCTTAGAACTGGGAAGTGGAAGAAGACATTCCAGAAGATGGGAGAAGCAAACTACCTCCATACCATTGCCAAGAAAACTACCAGGATGTGTCCAAGAAGTCACCATGAATTAAGCTCAGTTTTTACGACCGAGCCTTGGTTCGCATCAGAGTCCTACAGCAGGGTTAAAGAGGACACCATAAGACGTCTTCATCTTCTGTGTCCTTCGACCATTAACGCATGGAAATAATCAAGCTGTGGTTTGCTTTTCAGAAATACCCTGTGAAATATGGTGCTGGTACCTGCCTAACCGATAATGGCCCTGCTTTCCCTGTCGTTTATGATTTGGGGGATGCCCAGAAGACTTCAGAATACTATTCTCCCCATGGACGGGGTAAGTGTCCTCTCTTTGGCCAGATGGGCGCCCCCCGATCAGGGTGTTTTAACTATCAGTGGCTCCTAGGCTGGAACCTCATCTGTTGAAGCTAAGCGAAGGAAGATTCGGAAGGAAGAAAAGGAAGGATTGCTTTCCAGAATGCACAGCTGCAGGGTGCAATTGGTGCCATGGTTTAGATGGTTTAGAAAGCAGAGTGGGCAGGTTAGGCCAACGATGTGGCTACTCGCCTTGCTGGCTATTTGGTACCCCGTGAAAGCCCAGCTGTTGGGAAGGAACAGCAACAGAATAGGAATTGGAAGAGTCTAGCCCAGTGGTTTTCAACCTTGGCCACTTGAAGACACGTGGACTTCAGCTCCCAGAATTCCCCATGCTCCCAGAATTCCCCAGCCAGCACAGGGAATTCTGGGAGTTGAAGTCCACCCAACTTAAAGTGGCCAGGGTTGAAAAACCCTGACCTAGAGGCATGCCTTTTGATCTGGGAGTCCCATTATCTGGATGCAAACCTCTCCAAATCTTTCAGCCACGTCCACATGCTTTTCTTGACAACAATATACAGCTGGTTTGCCTTGCATTATTCAAGGTTTGATTCTGGGAGTTCTTTCTCAGCTGATTCCCTTGAAAGACTCCTGGAAAGTGCATTGTAGGTAGCTCTGAGCTTCCCCTCTCTCCTTTTGATGGCTGTCATGATCACTGACTGTTTTAATGCACAAGTCATTAGATTTT